TTTGGGGAGGGATGACTGGTGTAAGAAAAAGGAAAAGCTTAAGAAAACACTTCCTGATAATACCAACCTTTCTTTCATCATCCACTGCATTTGATAGAAATTAATGTTTTAGAGTTTTTACCTTTGACACTTTTATTCCTTGTACCCACCGCTTCTGGTCTCAGAGCCCTGCCGCTGCCCCCGCGGCTGAGCGAGTGGCTCAGATGCAGGCCATCAGGGGTGTGGTGGTGGGAGACGGAGCTGTAGGTGAAACTTGCCTACTGATCAGTTACACAACCAATGCATTTCCTGGAGAATATATCCCTACTGTCTTTGACAATTATTCTGCCAATGTTATGGTAGATAGAAAACCAGTGAATCTGGGCTTATGGGATACAGCTGCTCAAGAAGATTATGACAGATCATGCCCCCTATCCTATCCTCAAACAGATGTGTTCTTAATTTGCTTTTCCCTTGTGAGTCCTGCATCATTTGAAAATGTCCGTGCAAAGTGGTATCCTGAGGTGCGGCACCACCGTCCCAACACTCCCATCATCCTAGTGGGAACTGAACTTGAACTTAGGGATGATAAAGACACGATCGAGAAACTGAAGAAGAAGCTGACTCCCATCACCTATCTGCAGGGTCTAGCTATAGCTAAGGAGACTGGTGCTGTAAAATACCTGGAGTGCTCGGCTTTCACACAGTGAGGCCTCAACAGTGTTAGACGAAGAGATTCGAGCAGTCCTCTGCCCACCTCCCGTGAAGAAGAGGAAGAGAAAATGCTTGCTGTTGTAAATGTCTGAGCCCCTTGTTCTTGGTTCTGTCCCTTTGAATCTTGTACACTTTGCTTTAAAAAAGGTGGAGCCTTCACACTCAATGCCAACTTTTTGTTACAGATTAATTTCTCCATAAAACCATTTTGAACCAATTAGTAATTTTAAGGTTTTGTTTGTTCTAAATGTAAGAGTTCAGAGTCATATTATATTCAAATTTAGACCTAAAGTGACAAACTTTCTTAAAATCTTATTTTTCAAAAGCCATATTCTTGCTCAGATTAAGAGTTGCCAAAATACCTTCTGAACTACACTGCATTGTTGTGCCAAGAACACCGAGTATTAAACTGTGTAAAGACCTTCGTCTTTCAGAAGACTGTAGCTTCTGTAGTTACGAGATGCAGACACTTGCTAAGTAGTTTTCAGATGTGTAAAGCAGAACAGCCTCCTGAATGAAGCGTTGCCATTTAACTCACCAGTGATTTATCAGCCCATGTTCATGACGTAACATTGTGCCGTAATGGAATGGGTGTAACATCTCAGCTCTTTGGATAAGTCTTTTTGATTTCATAGTGAATTTTCTAAAAATTAGTTGACCAGCTTTTGCTGAGATTTTGAACAGAACTCATGTGTCTCCTCTAATGAAGTATTCTGTTTAGTTGTGGGTATGCTGGGTGGGGTGTGTGTGATCACAGGACAAAGACAGTATTTTGATAATATTTGAGTAGCAGTTTCTGTATACGTGATCTCTATACAAGGTAGTAACTGCAAGATGTTCTTATTCACATTGTGGAGAACTTTTAGGTGCACATTGGCAAAGTGCTTGCAGGTTAAGAAATGAATCATGGTGGATCGCTGGATTTTCTGATTATTTGCACTCTTAGTATAAACATGAAGTCATTGGCATTTATATGGGAAAAATAGTGCTATTAGCCCCCAAATATTTCAGGTTACATATTTTCTGTCACTGATTTCCCCTTCTCTCTATAGGAATTATAGAAAAACATTTACTATAAAGCCTTACTAAAGTAATTTTCAGGATCAATTACTCCACATGAATGTTAATTAAACCAACAAAACATGGTTTATGATTAAGGTGGTATCATGTTTTGATCGAATAATCATGTTCATTGAGATACAAATTAATATTGTGCATATGTATCTATTACCACAGATCTTATTTCTAGCTTACTAACGAGAACACATGAATGAATTCTGAAACTGTTAGCAGTAGTTAAGTTTACAAACTTAGAATCAGCAAGATCCAGGCTCAAATCCCAACTTCCCATAATATTCGCCAATGATTTATTTTTTCGAAGCCTCAGTTTCTCTTTTTGTGCAATGGTATTTATAAGAGTAACTATTTCACAAGGTTTCTATAGGGATTGGAAAAAGTGATGTATGAAAAATACTTAGTATACTGTATGTTAATTCTTATCATGTTTTATTTCCTTTCCTATTATGAAAAGCATTTTCAAAGGTGTATATTGTTTAGTTGTTTTCCACCAGAAAGTTTAAGAAACTTTCAGTTTGATTAATTGGCATTTTTGAAATCCCTTTCATTTGAACTATTTGGAGTATTTCTTTAGGAAAAATTTTCATAGGAGAAGAATGCAAAATAAATATTACTCTAGGCATGTAGTACTTTAACAAAACAGATAATTTTTATCTACCTCTGCTCCTGAATACAGTCTATTGGTGCAGAGTGTGTGCCTCTTTAGATAAGAGGCAAACTTAGATAAGCACTCTCCATGACTTATGCTAAGGAAGACAAGAGATAATTTGTGAACCTAAAAGGAATTGGACCTATCTCAAGTCTGTTCTTCAGACTTAACATTTTTATTTTTTGAAATCTAAAGACAAGAAAGATATAGAACTAGAGGGGTAAACAGAAAGTCAAGGGTGTAAAGCCACATAGTGCCAGGACTTAAGCAGTCTTCCAGATAACAAATCAAATTTATCAGTTCACAGCTGCAGAGAATTTTGAATGTAGGTGCAAGTTTTCCAAGGCTTTATGTGATTTTTTTTTTTTTTTGTCTTTACCACTCTCCACCACAGGATTAGGGTCTCATTTCATATCACCAAAGTTTTATAGTTGAACTCCTATGCCATTTACTTACAACGCTTTAATGACAAAACATACTATATCTTATATTAAAGTGATTTTTGGTTCTACTAGGCTATAGCTTCCTTGAGGACATGGATTATTCCTGATCCATTTTTGTATCTATTACAGAGTCTATCATTGTGCCTTCTAATATTTAAGCTGCTGATCAATGTGTTTCAATGAGTTGGAAATAATATCAATGAGTTATTTGAATTCAGGAAATACGTAGAGTTCATGGTACATTGCCTGGCATTGAGTAAATATTTCTCCTCATTGTAGCTTCTGTGATAGTTTTTGCTATGTGGGTGTATCAGTCCATTTTCACACTGCTGATAAAGACATACCTGAAACTGGGAAAGAAAAGAGGTTTAATTGGACTTACAGTTCCACATGGCTGGAGAGGCCTCAGAATCATGGTGAGAGGAAAAAGGCGCCTCTTACATAGTGGTGGCAAGAGAAAAATGAGGAAGAAGCAAAAGTGGAAAGCCCTGATAAACCCATCAGATCTCATGAGACTTATTCACCATTATGAGCATTGCACAGGAAAGACTGGCCTCCATGATTCAATTGCTCAGTAAGAAGGGGTTCTATAAGAAAAGCACTTAAGTAAGTTAGCGACCCTCCCCTGGATCCCTCCCACAACACATGGGAATTCTGGGAGCTACAATTCAAGTTGAGATTTGGGTGGGGACACAGCCAAACTCTATCAGTGGATGTGCAGGTGAGTCCAGATATTCAAAAATAAATTTATATATGGGGATAACAGTACCATAAATATACATTTATTAAGAATACAAGAATCTTGCATAACCTAAAATGATTTAGATTATTGAAGAAGAGGATCTTATGAATCTCATTCGTCTACAATATTTAAGTGTCAGCAGAGTACTATTAATAAAAAGTTATGCTCACTTAAACCCAAATGTTATTTTAAACCATTCACTGTGGAAAATAGAATACATTTCCAAGATTTCTTTTAATTATCAAAAGTATTCCAAAATCCTGCAGGGGAAGATATAAAATTGTTAGTGGGTCAGGGACTGGAAAATGTCTGTGTGCTTATATTTTGGCATCATCATCAACCATGGTAAAATAATCAGTATCTTCAATAAAGTGAGAAAAGGAAATGACAGCTGTCTGTGTCACTCTCATCACTAGGAGTCTTCTCAGCTGATCACCCTGCCTTCTACTTTACTTTTTCATCCCTAATAATTGTGGCTTACCAGCATGTTCTCTATTACATCCTTAGGTCCAACTCATGGGCTAAACTCATTCACAACTCACATCAGCTTTTCAGCTCTGTGTACTCCTTAGGAGTCTCTCAGAATGCCTTTGCCTTGGCTTTCTCGTAGAACAATATTCCTTTGGAAGAAAAATCCTGGCTGGATCCCTGTTATCATCTAGTTCACTTTCATTTGATGAAATCCTAGATCCCTCTTTTAGGGAAGCATTCAACTGACTGAAGTTGAAATAGAGTAAATTTATCTGTATATGGTACATGTGAAATGGCTCTTATTCTGTGGCATCCTGAAAAGTAGTGGTGGCTTAGGTTGCTGTGTGTTTGAAACTAGCTCATCATGAAGGCAGGTGCCTGATGAAGAATAGAAGAACGCTTTTCAGTATAAACACATTTCTTTAGTGTTACATCAGTGAAACCAGGCTTGGGCGTAAGACGCCCTGGGTTCAAGTGCTGTGGATGCTGTGGATACCTTGCTCCGTTGCACCTGGGCCCACCTGAGCTTACCTGCAGCTGTGATGAACAGTTTCCTGCATGCTGATTCTCTCCTCAAGTAGGGTGGTTCTCCACTACTCACCTGAGGCTTTCACTAGAGCCTTGGGTGCTTACTCTGTGACTCAGAAGTGCAGGGGAGTTAAGGTCCCCAAGGGCAACCCTCTATACATGAGGAATGGGACATAGTGGATGGAAGCACAGTCGTCCAATTCCTGAGTGGGATAATTCAGAGGCCTACTCCACAAGGTTTCTTGGAAGCTCCCCAGCAAGACTGAGCCCTAGCTGCCACACTAGTAGTCCATTCATTTATGTATCTTTATTATATTTTTTCTTCCTTATCTCACTTTCCCTGTTTTCTCACTCAGATTTCTGAGGGTCACTTCTTAAAGAAGCTGCCTGAACCCAAGTCTGTCTTGAGATTTGCTTTGAGAAGAACTCAGACTAAGACATGATCCTAACTATACACTAACTAGTTTGAGACTTTGAGTAGGTTATTTGATTGTTCTAAGTTTCTTGACCTGTCAAATGAGACAGTTGGACTAAATGGATAATTTTGAACATTAAAATATGAAAATAGTTAAAAGTGATGAATACATTTTTAGGTAGTTTACAGGGTTTTATTGTTTGTTTGTTTGTATGACAGACATTTACTTGTTTGTAGATCACTGAGGCATATTCTTGACATCCTGGGTTTCCTTAGAGCATGATTTTAGAATAGGTGCACTAGATGATTTTTAAGGCTCATGGAATTTTGGGATTCCAATAACGAATAAAGATCCTTGAGGAACTTTCTACCTCCACCCTAATCTCTTAGGCTATTTCCCAAACTCCAAACCCACAAACATCCAGCTTAGAATCTTTCATCCCCACACCATCTGTGTGCCCATTACCAATTGGTTGTGCAAGTGTGCACACACACATGTGCACATACGTGCATGTATATTTCCATATTCCAAAAAACAAATAAGAAATATAATATCCTGGTTTGTGGCATTCTATCGTTTCCCAGAAGTTTTAGTATAAAGAATATAAATTCTGATGATATGCTGGGTGCTGATGGGGGCAAAAAAAGTTGACCTCATTTAAAAATTTGTT